ATATCAAAACATCTCGGAATTTAGTATACAAGATATAAGAAAAAGTGCAAAGTTTGTGGTCAATTTTGAGCATGATCGTGACCTTGAATTTGAATGTTATGCACATCATCGGAATCCACGGATTCTCGTCTTTTGTTCAACATCCCTTTTAGCCGATTTTATGCACCATGCCGTCCTCTGGAACACGTCCTTTGAGACAACTGCTGACTACATAAATACCGGTTTTTGCCTTTGACCTTGAATTCTGACCTTGAAAACTGGCCTGAGGTCAAAAAGTTTAGGTGCTTTGGAATCTTCTCATAGATACTTTTCGTTTGGTACCATTTTTGTTTCCGTAGCTGCCTTATTAACGGAGTTAAACAGGGAGGGGGGAGGGCTACCCCGGGCTGCGGTGGTTAGGATTACCCCCGGGCCCGGTCGAAATAAAACTATAAAACTAGATTGCGAGACACAAACCTGTGAAAACGTTATGTTGTTCGTTGAGATGTAAAATGGTGTGTTCCTCAAAACTATAGTCAGTACCTATTTCTCCTTTTCCCCGTAGTACGCATATATGTGCGATTCTCTCACATACGATTGATAGGTATAGGTACGAGAATAAGCTCCATTAGGGTGACCCACATACAATTCCAGATAACCCGGGATATACATACCTATCACATTTTGTTATACCTCTCTGAGCTCAGTCTCAGTCTAAGGGTTCCCAAAAGAGGGTGATCTCTTCTCTGGCCGACTTTTGATAAACTGCTTCTCAACCTCCTCGAGATCAAGCTCGAGGGCAGCCTTTTGGTGAATGAAAATGAGTAGGAGAATGAGTGGGAGTAGGAGATATGCGACAGACGGTCCGAGAACGAACGTTCTGCTGACGCACTTGATACGAGGACCGTCAAAAACAGGCGTACTATTATAACCGCCTATAATGAATGTTGCACCGGTCTTCTGTTCCCATGCATCAGCCAAATTTTGTGGGGGCAAAAACATAGTCTTGCCCCCACGGCCTCCTGCCAGTGGGGGCAGTCTGACCCCACTGCCCCCACGGTGGCGCCGCCCTTGATGTCATGGCGGCTCCGGCTCCGGCTCCGAGTAAAATGATCCGGCTCCGGTGGCTCCGGCTCCGGCGGCTCCGACTCCGGCTTCTACTCAGTACTATACAATACTGAACGAGGCCGGTGTAAATAAATTTTCAAGACCGAGGTCCTTACTGAATTTTTGAACGAGGCCGAAGGCCGAGTTCAAAAATCAGTAAGGACTGAGGTCTTGAAAATTTATCACCGGCCGAGTTTGGTATGTATTTTACTGTATGCCAACGATAAAATAATTGTCTAGACCGAAGCTCTTAGCCATTTTTTGAACGAGGCCATCCCAAAATGTTGACTTGGTAATTCGTTTTTGACCGTGGTCACTTTGCTTACACCAGTTATTACCACACCCCTCAGGCTAATGTATTTGAATAGGCCAGGCATACAGTAAATCCCCTATGCGATCAATTAAATACGGGTGGAAGAAAAAAGGCGATGGGATTGGTACACGTTGCTTCTGTATTTGTATAACAAGGCTATTTTGAATACCACATTGTTTTACGCCTTGTACTGTCCAACCGAATTAGGTAAATAATTGTTTCCTCTTAAGAAAAGGAGCCGGAGTCGCCCACTTTTTTGACGGCTCCGGCTCCGGCTCCGGCTCCGGGCTATATTGTTTCACGGCTCCGGCTCCGGCTCCGGCTCCGGGCAAAATATGCCGGCTCTGGCGGCTCCGGCTCCGGCTCCGGCTCCGGCTCCGCATCCCTGGGTAATACTCATGAGCCATATTGTAATACATGTCACTGAAACATCGTCGTTTGAAAAGCAACATTCATTGTGAAGGACCCTGAAGCTTAACAGCGAATTGACCTGTTTTGATGGTGTGGACATTGCACGTACATAAAGAATGCAGTTGATGATTCGTCATAGTTTTTGTAAGGATAAAAAACCCGAAAGAATTTGCAACAAAATGAATATGGAATTTATGGGCATACGAATAGCTGAGGTCATTTTAAAGGCTTATCAAAAGTAACGTTTATTGTGAAACACCCTGTAGCTGAGATCAGGTCACGTTCAGGTCAAAAAGGTCAAATTTTGATTTTTTGGTTAAGACAAAAGGTAATTATCAGATGCATTTTGAGCTCAGGAACACGATGGTGCCATTTATGTTGCTGTACGATGTCAAAAAGGTACTGGAAAATTGATTTGAACAATCTAAATTTGCGAAATTGTGACTGTAATGCGTATACTTCAGTCATTTTTTGAAGACATTAGGCTTACAACTTTCTAGAGTAGTTCATCGGAGGGTGTTCTGTAACATAACTATATTCCGATTTTTGAAAAGTCAGAAAAATTGGAAAAAAAATCAAAATATATTTTTTTGGTATTGTATGTGTAAATTTTCCAAAATGTTCAAAATTTGGAAAATCCGAGCTAGCAGTTTAAAAGCCACGTGTATTCACAGTCCAGCCATGCAAAGAACTCGGATCTACCTTAACAACTGAGCCTTTGAGATCGCTGTTTTGCATCAAAATCGGCCGACATGAAGTCACTCTGACGTCATTTTCGGCCGACTATTGGTAGCTAGAAATTTGTTAGTTGAACACAAAGTTTTAAATTGATGCTGCTGAAGGTACTGCAAGTTTCGTGTTGATGCGTCAAGCGGTTTAGAAGACATTGCAGAAAAACGGAAAGGGCTCTGTAGTCCCCCCTTTCCCAGTCATGCGCATTACAATAACGAACACTGTTTTCTCTGCTTACCATTGTACACAGGTATGCCTTTTTGTTATATTCACATGTACAGTTACACATCTAATTGCACACAAACCCTAAGATAAGAATCAATGTTTCGCACGAAGTTATCTTACCTTTTTTGTTACCGATAAAGTAATGTGACAGCCACTCGATCGATATCTTTACAGGGTATAACATCAACCATATGGACCTGGCGCCGAATTTCGCCGGCACGCTGATGGGCATCACCAACTGCGTGGCGACCCTGGCCGGAGTGCTGGCGCCCTTCCAGGCCGGCTACGTCCTCAACCAACAGGTGGGCAAGGGCATTCGTATACCGCGCGCGTGCCTACTGATCTAGCGAATCTGCACATCGGGCCCCTGTAGGTCCAAACACTCTCGGATTGGCAGTAAAGGCGTGTGAGACCAGCGATGTCACTCCTTTGAAGTTACGTGATATTTGATCGAGTTAATGTTTCTTCACGCGCGATGCGCAATTGATGTATGTATGTATGTATTATAAGCTATACCAAGTTTCGGGGCACTGTGCGCCGCGTTTCTTTTTTACACACACAAAAAAAAAACTGGGGAGTGTGACCAAAAGGATCATCATACCTATATCTTTCTGACAATTTCCTATAACCCTGTGTTATTGTCTCTGTCCTCTTTAAATAGAAGTGTTTGGTGGTAACTCTGCGTTGTTATTAGACGATTTGGCTTTTTTATTTTTAGTTAAGTACTATTGTGCTGCATTTGAGCCTCACACTTGACTTCTTAACAACGGTGTGCCTGCAGTGGCGGCGGAACACCTTCAATTAAGGGGGGGGGCGGGCACTGCCGACTTTTGGTCCCATTCTTTCCATGCAACGCACGTAGGGCTAATGTTAAAGTGCCAACATCAAAGCGGGCACGGTGCCACGGTGCCACCCCCGTTCCGCCGCCTATGTGTGCCTGAATGTTTCGACTGCCCTCGTAATGCACAAAAGATGTGGCTTTCATTCATAGATGGCGGCACGAGGTGCGCCTGGTGGTATGCTGTGCCGCAATACGTCACGGTAACTAGCGCCGCTAGATGGCTCTGGTGCTGGGCACGGGAAGGTTCGCGCACAGCACACGTGATCCTCTGCAGCGGAGCCGTTTCCGCTGCGCTGGTGACCGTGTTTGTTTCCGTCAGCCGTCGCTGGCCAACTGGCGGACGGTGTTCCTGACGGCGGCTGGCCTGTTGGCGCTGGGGAACACGGTGTTCTGCGTGCTGGGCTCCACCAGCCGGCAGCCGTGGAACGAGCCGACGCCAGAGCGCTGTCTGGTGCTCGACGCTGACGCCGAGGTGAAGAGGCGGGCCCGGCAGCAGGCGGTTCTCTGACGGCGCCACTCCGCTGCCTGCAGCGACGTGGCGGGACACATTTCACTAGTCAGAGGGAGGCGTTCCCGAGGTGCAATGTCACCCATAAACGCTCGGTCATTAAACCAAACTGGTATAGTAGGTATGTAAGGCGCTATTTGTTGAACTTTGTTGAAGTGTCACCGCTGTACACATACCGAGCCAGTCGTTGTTGAGCTTACCAAAGATCATACTACTCAGACAAAAACTGGTACCTAGTTTAAAGCGACTGGTTTTGTAGAAAATACATATGCACAAAAAGTATGTCTCTAAAACTGGATATTTTTATCTGAAGCCGCGACTGTAAGCATCTGAACAGGAAACACCTGATCAATACAGCACTGAGCAAGTGAGTGTAGGCATGAAGTTGCACTGTCCTCAATGTTCGAGCCCGCTTGGACATGTGAATGTCGAATTGGGATTGAGAGAATATGTCAGGCTGAGCGAGGACTGGTAGGACTGAGAGAGTGTGTCGGGCTGAGCGAGGACTGGTAGGACTGAGCGGATGAGCCACAGGGAGTGAGCGACCGTAGCACCGCGCCGGCCGCGGCCGGGCCGGGGAGCGCGGGCCGTCTGAGCGGCGCTCGGTGGGTCAGCAGCCCGGCCCGGCACTGCCGCCGGCTGGCGCGCCGCTGTGCACCCGCGGCCGCTGCAGGGAGACTCGTAATGTTCGCGCTCGCTCCGTCCTTCATAGTTCGGGACTGGCCTGTCCCGCACAGACCTGTACCACCGGGCTCCAGTGCTGTACCAGTGTCAGTGGCAGCCCCCACCTACTATCCGTCCCCATACACATCCGCCCATCATATCGATCTACATTCGTTTTAGTTGACTGTGCAATGTGTGCATGCATGTTGCATAAACAACACTGCGCATTGTCATTTTTTATTGAGTTTTATATCCTTAAATGCCATATCACAAACTGTGACATGTGTCACAGCTCACCGCGTGACACGTGTCCACACTCTCAGCACTCAGCAGCAGTGCAGTGCCGGCTTTCTCAGCCACACCCTGGCTGTCCACGCTGCCCCTCCCCTCCCGGCCAGGGGTGGGGGGGGGCACGCGCCAGTCGGCCCAGAGCAGCTATCGGCCCTGGGATCCGGCCAGCTGAGGCCGGGCCGACGCCGTGCGGGAGGCGCCACCCACCCCGCCCACATCGCGGCGCCAGTCACCTGACATACGGCTGCCACGTGACTGCACAGGTGACGGAAGTGACGCGTCACCGTCACTATCTGGCCGAGTTCCACCACCGCGCCGGCGAACCAGCCGAACTGCACGGGCCAACCACCCCAACCGTGAAGACATGGTCACCCACTCGCCAGAAATGCCCTATGATGCAATGGGGAAACGCACTGACGACCGCTCGTTATCTCCCAGTTCCTCACACATGGTAACGCTGAAAACGAAACTGCACTCGTGCAATATGCTAGACACACTTGGCGACAAGTCACATGTGACGGCGACCTTTCGGCTGGCACGGAGCCCTTCTGTTTTCATTCAGTGATAACACGTTAAACATCACTAGGGGCAGACGCGGTCTGGCCGCCCTGTAGCCGCTGCACGGGTCGCTTAGGGCCTGGACAGCGTGGCACTGTACACAGGCCGCCCTCGGCCTCTGCACTGGACAGTCCGCCTAGGGCCGGGCGCAGCCGGCCATGAACCGGCTGCACACGTCGTCGGGCCGGTTGTTTCTGATGACGGTGGCCACGGGCATCAGCGCCGGGTCCTCGATGTACTGCAGCTGGTCGCAGTGGCCGGCCGGGTCCGTCGAGGCTGGCAATCACAGCAGACACCGCGGCAGTGCACAGGGTACACACTACACAGCCACAGGGGAGAGACACACTCAACTGGGAGGGCAGCCACGTCCGCCGCCTTTGGAGAATCAATGTCACAGAATGGCCGTTTTCACGACGGAATAGCAGGCATCTATTTGATGCCCGTTTGATCCTTTGGTTCCTCAGGAATTTTAGTAGTTTTGCATGGTAGGTATATGTGTAGGTGGATTGTGGATCCACCTCGGGAGAGGTGCCCCGAGGCCAGTTGCATGCAATTGCAACTGAGCATCCTTCACAATCCGTGATCCCGGTATGGCGGGAAACTTTAACCAATCGGAGTGCCCAGATTGGTTGTCATGCCAACGGTTGCTTGGCAACGACTCAGAGTAGGGAGTCGGAGGGAGAGCTGGAGAGAGCTTAGGACAGAGTGATGGGATGTGTTTTTGTTATTGCAGCAACGTACAATATAAAATGAACGGACGAACCTGAATGAGAGCCAAGATGACTAAGACGCCCTTGAATAACTTGGGGTCACATTCGGTCAGGAACGTAAACCGCGAAGCATGAAAAGCTTACATATGTATGTATCTATTTCCAATCAACTAGTCCTCGCTCCGTCAAGGTAGGTACCAATAGATCTTCATAGCAGCCTGTTTCTAGCAGTATCAATTGAGTCAAATGATTGCAATTGCTGCCATTGTAGCGGATTGCAGTTGTTTGCATTTATCAGACTACTCAATGCATCTCTGATCTCTAGGTTGTAAGCTATTGAACTTAAGATTGCTAGATGGGTTTAATTAAAAAAAAATTACCTGACATTATAATAAACCACCGGTGAAACCCGGTTGAAAGAGATTTTTTTTAAACTACCATCCCATTCACTGATAATCAAGAAAAGTATATCGCTGAGTTTACACTGAAGCTGACCCACCAGGCTGACACAGCTCAGGCTGACTCATGCAAAACAACAATTCCAAAGACAAGCAGACGGACAGACATAAACTCACCCATCGCGAAGGAGACGATCTGGCCGGCCTGGTAGTCGCGGTAGCCGGCGCGGTTAGCGCAGTCCTCCTCCGAGCAGAAGGCGCAGAATTTGGTGTCCTGAGCCACGTCATCGGTCCGTCAGCAGTCACATAGACATAACAATGGCATCCAGCGCTTTTACGGCATCAAAAGGAACATCGATTCGATTCTTTATCTCATGGGATGCAGCAACAGTAGGTACTAGATTCAAGTATCTTTGTGGACCTTTAGCTGGTAGTGCATATGAAGAAGTCAACATTGTTTAACGTCCTCTGTGCAGCTTCCCACCTAACTTTGTGTGCGGCTCCCCACCTAACTCTGTGTGCAGCCCCCCACCTAACTCTGTGTGCGGCTCCCCACCTAACTCTGTGTGCGACTCCCCGCCTAACTCTGTGTACAGCTCCCCACCTTGATGAGCGCCCAGAACTCGTCGTCCAGAAAGTCGCCGTGTCCGTACTGGGTGGCGTTGATCTGCCAGCGCGGGGCGTAGAAGGCGTTGTAGAACCGGTCGTTACTCAGGTCGGCAGGAGCGCAGGCCGGGTACAGCAGCGAGCCTGAGGATCAGAGCCCCAGGGTTCAGCCGGGCCGGGTACAGCAGAGAGCCTGAGGATCAGAGCCCCAGGGTTCAGCAGCGAGCCTGAGGATCAGAGCCCCAGGGTTCAGCCGGGCCGGGTACAGCAGAGAGCCTGAGGATCAGAGCCCCAGGGTTCAGCAGCGAGCCTGAGGATCAGAGCCCCGGGGTTCAGCCGGGCCGGGTACAGCAGCGCGCCTGAGGATCAGAGCCCCATGGTACAGCAGCGAGCCTGAGCATCAGAGCCCCAAGGTTCACAGCGAGCCTGAGGATCAGAGCAATCTAAGTACTTACAACTACACAGCGAGCCGTGCCCTTTCGAATGCCGCTTCCCGTGTGCCACCGACATTGTCAGAGAACTCTGGTTTGTTTTTCACTAGAAAAATACAATTCTAACAAATAGCGTTTTACTTTCTGACCACAACCCTTCGGTAACGAGGCACAGGAGCCGAGTTAGAAGGAGTGGGGGGGGTGTTTGAAAACCCCGCGGCCAGGGCCTCGTTTCATAAAACTCTGCCGTAACTTACACCTTTCCGTAATAGGGTTGGGACCTATCTGCATGCTCTGTATGTTTTGGTAAAATAAGAAAGCTCAGAATTTTTAATGATTTAATTTAAAATAAATTTGTTAACCCGCGCACCGACGGGGGTCTGCGCCACCTTCGCACCGACGGGGGGGGCGGATGACCGCCCCCCCCCCTGAGATCTCGAGAACGAAGCAAGATAGCGACAAGCGGTAAACGGCATCGGATACGCACGGTCAAGATCTACAATTTTTACTAAGGTCATTTTCAGGTCAGGTCAAAGATGACGTCACAGGGGTCGAAAAAGTCAAAATGGCGGCGCTAGATATGGAGAGAGTTTTTCTCGAATAACTCTCGAATTAGTCAAGATAGAAACAAACTCAGGGCATCATCGTGATCCCCCCTCGTCAATCCGCATCGAATGATATATATGTTGACCTCGAAAGGTCAAGGTCAAAGGTTGACCTCAGGTCACGTGACCTCGAGGTCATCATGTATATCATTCGATGCGTCTTGACGAGCTGAACACAATGAGACCATCCACGCGTCTGTATCTTGTTCCTGTACGGAGTTATTGGCCAAAAACCTTTGGTGACCTTTGATGACGTCACATGACCTCACAGCTGCCCAACAGCAAAACAGACCTCAAGGTAGTGAAGGTTGATCGTATATGAAGTCATGTATGGTATATGGGGCCATTCCGACCCGTTTTAGTGGTAAAAACAGGGAGTTGATTTTTCCCCCATTGACTTATAATGGGGAGGTCGCGAAATTGACCTGACCTTAGGTCACCGATATCAAAATTCCGAGATATACAAATTGTAGCTACTAATGACCTAATAACATCCTGCGACTTTCAAAGGCCTCCGACATCTACTGTAGCTCTGGCACGGTGACAAAGTTGCAAAAAAGTGACTTGAGGTTGGGTCATTCAAAGTGACCTGGTGACCTGACCTTGAAAGGTAGGAGGCTCAAACTTGCACACCATGTGTAAAATTGATGAGGTTATAGTCATACTAAATTTCGCGGCGCTACGCGCCGCGGTTTTCCCGCTATTCGCGAAAAACCTCAGGGGGGGGCGGATATCCGCCCCCCCCCCCGTCGGTGCGCGGGTTAAAAAAATGCCTAGTTAGCTCAAAAATTGATTAATTGTGACTGAAAACAACTTGCATCTGATTGGTCGGGCTAATCATGACGTCACATGTAGGTATATAGCTGTCTGTATATTTGGCGCAGTTGAGGCATACATTTTCTATGTATTTCCCTATGGTAAATCGGAGTGATTGGTCGTTTATTCAGTGTCTCTTTATTTTGCGCTGGTATTGCGTGGCTAAGAAGTTTTATCAAGAATGACATATACTAAAATGTTCCTTTAATAGTGGAGCTTCAATATCTGTGAGTTTTATTGGCAAGCGAAAACTGATTTCGCTGTTATTTTATCTGGAAATTACTCATTTTCTAGGTCAATATTCAAAATATTTTACGGGAACAAGTTGGCACTTCTCTTGATTTTTGCACTCAAATCGCGTGCGATTCAACTGTATTGGAACTTGCAAAGAAGCTTAGTGATTAATTAACTGCGTTGTTATGGCACTGTTTGCAAAGCATGGATAATGAAACTGTGCCAAAGACTTAGCTACATAGCAATGCCTCAAGTAATACACAGGAGGGACAGAATTCAGAGTCCGATCGAGAAGAATCGGTGCAAATGCTACGAGGACCAGGCAGCTCTGATACGATGGCTAGTCGTCTCACTCCATTAGACCAGCTGATCCCTGACAGCACCGACTCGGATGCAAAGATGGAGCTGATCTTCCAAGCCAGAAACCAGTTCTTTGATGGAAGATGTGATGCTGCCTCTGTCTCTGCTTTGTTGGCCACTTTGGACGGGGCGGAGCTCCGCTCTTTGCGTGAGCGGCTATTCGCCTGTCATCCAGAAATAGTTCCTTCGTTTGCTGGCCGTTCCCTGATTAGGTGCAATACGGGGAGCTGTAATCAGGGAAGTAACTTTCCATATGAAAGGGGTGCAGGTGCACCCCCGTCCCCCATCCACTAGAAGTGCACCTCCATAGGCTAAGCGGCGCCCCACACGCCGCCCCACACCGATTAGCTCTAGAGCAGATGGCGAGGGTGATTTCCCGGCTACATGCCATCTCGGCGTCGTGATGCTTGTGGGCTTGGAAAATGTCCAGAGGGTAGTGTAGGGGTAGGGTTGAGCTCAATAAGGTCCTTACATTTGAAAGGTTTGAACAACCCGCAATCAGCACAACATACCACAAGTTAAATAAAAAAAAACTACCAAACTCCGCCCAACTAATATTAATAAACATTACAGCCAAACTAATGGTCTAACTAAAAATATATCTCAAATCCTAACAGTTCTCGCGGGTGATGGCTCCATGAGTTGCTATTATCCAAAACAGATGCAAATAAACATGTTTGTATGTTATATGTATGTATGTTTGTTTTAAAAACGTTGCAGCGGCGCTGGGAACTGCAGTCTTAGATCTGGGTAGGTTTGGCATCTGCAACTCTTCATATACACATTAACCCTATTTCGGACGGGGGAGGCCTTTCAGGATTTTCTTGTACAATTTTCAAACGCCGCGAGACATTCAGCTCATATTTGGTGACTTTTCCTAAATGCTCATTGCGCACATCTCAGAAAAAAGCCGGGTCAGGTCAGGTCAGGTAACCAGAGCGGGTTTGTTGACCCCACCTCAGAAAAGTTTGCAATCACGTCAGAGCTTGAGTTTTTCCCGAAGTTATTTCCTCTCATCAAGTCTTCAAAACAGTACCTGCAGTATGTGTCGTTTGTATATCTCAGAATTTTTTATCTGTGACCTGAGGTTAGGATTATGGTGAAGTTAGATATATATAGTAGTCTGATGCTCATGAGTAAGCTATATGAAATATATATTTTAGAGAAGAGTTGTATGATATTTCGAGCACGGCTCGTCTTCAGATACATAGGCCGAATTCGGCCTATTCGGCCTATTCGGCCTATGTATCTGAAGACGAGCCGTGCTCGAAATATTATACAACTCTTCTCTAAAGTATATATTTCATATAGCTTACTCATGAGCATCAGACTACTATATTTATCTAACTTCAACATAATCTTAATCATGCTCAGTTACAGCATTCAATTCCTTAAAATACCTGAGGTTAGGTCAGAGTCGTGACCTTTACATTGCAAGCCTATGAAAAAAATATTGAAATGCGACCTGCCTCGAGTAAACGAGTCAAAACCGCCCAATTCTTTAAGAATTATGACAAATTATCTAATCTGTAATGATCCAGGTGCCATTTACTGACAGGGACACCGGAGAGGGTTATCTGAGGGCGAGATCATGCGAGGTGATATCTACTAATTACCATACATCAATGCTGACAATACTTACAATATTGACAATGCTTACAATGCTGTTACAATACTTACGATGAGACCAGCAAGCACTCTGCCGTTACAGTTCAAACTTCTGTTTCGAAAACCGACGTTACACACATTCGCTGCCAGCATAACATGTATTGTTTGACAGTAACAAAATACAATGACATCTGAACCCCAAACGGACCGCCATCCACTCAAATTTTATAACCCTGACCGGTCAGGGGGCGAATGGAGGTCATCTCCTGGGCATTACACTCAGCCCTTGCACAAAATATCTCACCTCACAGTGATCATTACAATATCTCCGACTTGATAGTGGATTTCAAAGTACTTCCATCAGCTCTTCTTGCTATTGCAGACGATCATCTCCTCAGGGTGATGTTGTTCGGGACATAAACGAAGATCGTTTTCGGAGTTTCATAAGTGCTACTGCAACAGCCTGGCACAAAACAGGACTTGTACGCTTTTCTCTGCACTTTGCCCTTCAGTATATCACAAAATAATTGTTTAGAATCCATCTTACGCTTCTTTCACAGTCTCCCTTGCCACCGTAGGGCGTAGATAGGTTGCTGTTGCTGGTAAGTTAAGGCACGGTAGATAGAAATTACCTCGGTTCTCAACGCCTTAATTTATTTTTATGAAAAAGAAAAAAGCAATTATGAATAAGATTAGAGAAATGTTAAAATTTTAATTGTAAATTAGGCCAAATGCGTATTGGAAAGGCTTTTGCCCTTCAGCATCTTCCGATTCATCATGTTTTTCATTAGAAAATTCGAGGTTCACAAAATGTTTACCACGCGCTCAATGTTAAATGGGAACAGTACACGGCAGACGCATCAATTTTTGACACTGAACCTTTCATTCGTGAATGCTTTAGCATAATTTAAAGCTAAAAACAGCGCGAATGGCAGAGTGAAACAAACAACCTCTTTCACATATAGAAATAACATGTAATCGGTGGTGCGCCAGATGTGCCATTATTTGTCAACCGCAGAAGGTGACATGTGACGTAACAGCATCAAGAGCGTCTTTTTCAAGAACTTTAAAAAATATGTTTTCTATCTGTCTTCCCCCATTTCTCTCAGCATAATGCTTTTATGAGGAAACTGTATGCACCATAAATTCTGCAAAAATAGTCTGATCATTTCTATACATTCTTCAAAAATCGAGTTCCCAACCCCATACACACCCTTTCGAACTACGGAGCGCAAATAAATCCGTTTCACAAAGCCACAACTGGAATTGTTTACACCTCCGTAACTAAGCACATTTGCGTAGTTACCGTAATTTATCAAGCGTCCTACAAATTACAATTTTATATCAACACTTATTTTTTACGAGAATTTATAAAACAATTATGTTGAATTTAAATCTTAAAAATCATGTATGAAAAACAAAATTGATATTGATGACCATCCTTTATTAAAACAATATATTAAAAACAGCAGAAAGCCAGCTAAGCAGAAGTGCCTAACTACGAAAGTGGCGCGGCGCGGCGAATAAACAAAATTCCGATAGTGGCCACAAAAAGCGACTGGTACAGAAGATTTGCAGTTTGTTTTTCTCAATTTGGCTGTTCTTTCTTCCTCACCGGGCTAAACATTATGAAATATATTAAAAATTAGCTTCGAATCTTCACATTAATTCAAAATCACGCAACATTTTTGTGCGTAGTTTACACCACTGATATCAAGAGCTTGATAAAATATTTGGCGTTAATTACGTCGTTTTATGAAACCCAAATGACATCAATTGGTCCGGAATCGAGCATTTGCCGTAAATGAAGCTCCGTACTTTCGATGGCGTGAATTACTCCGGTCTCCGGCTTTATGAAACCGAATTGGCATCAAATACGCCAAATCTGGCATAATTGACGGAACGCCGTAAGTAATTCCTTTTATGAAACGAGGCCCAGGTCGCGTCCAGCACCGGCCCCGAACGGGTAGCGTATTCCCGATCAGTGTATAACACGAGTATCCCGACCATTAGCGCGGCCTCTCGAGTGACGTCATAGCAGGGGCGGATCCTGGGCGGGGATTTTGGGGGGCTAAAACCTTTCTGCTTGTACCATACAGTTCAGCATGTGACATCATTGTGACTTCACCCGAGAGATGGCGCTAGTTGGTCGGGATACTCGTGTAACACACTTGGAGAATACGCGAGCGGTAAAACCATCCTTCCCTCCGTCAAAGCCCAGCATTGCTAAGTCTTGTCGTCCATTTATCTCCAGCATCAGTAAACTTGACACGACCCCCCCCCTCTCTCTCTCTCTCTCTCTCTCTCTCTCTCTCTCTCTCTCTCTCTCTCTCTCTCTCTCTCGCTCTCCCGCCCCCCCCCCTCCCACCTGCAGCCGGCTCTGGGTTCGTTCGCTGACCTTTTTCGGCGTCCAGTCCGGCGGTGAGCACCAGCGCAGGCAGTGTGAAGTTGACTCGCTGACCAGGCACGATGCAGAACTCGTCCACGATGCCGAACGGATCGAAGCCGTCTACGGGACTCATCAGGATGAGGCTTTTGACGCTGGTCTCCTGCTCGCAGAAGCCCTCCAGGTAGCTGACGGCCACGTGTGAGCCGGCCGAGTGGGCCAGCAGCGTGGTGCGCTGGGAACACACGCCGGGGAGGCAGCGTCAGCGGAGCGGGCCGACCATCGGCGGCGTCAGCGGCCAGCGGGCCGACCATCGGCGGCGTCAGCAGAGCGGGCCCACTATCAACAGCGTCAGCAGAGCGGGCCGACCATCGGCGGCGTCAGCGGCCGGCGTCAGCAGAGCGGGCCCACTATCAGCAGCGTCAGCGGCCGGCGTCAGCGGAGCGGGCCGAGCATCGGCGGCGTCAGCGGCCGGCGTCAGCGGAGCGGGTCGAGCATCGGCGGCGTCAGCGGCCGGCGCCCAGCGTCAGCAGAGCGGGCCCACTATCGGCAGCACGGAGCTTTCCACACATACAGCTACCTGCCTTCCTTCAGAAATTTCTTGGTATATCATTTGTTGATTCGAAACGTTCCTGGCCGAGAGAGCGTTGCATGGTTGTGGTGTGAGCTCTCAAAATGACGCCCTCTCTCCCCGTAGAATAACACAAAATTCCGCTTGGAATTTACTTTTCAGAAATAGTTAGATGACGACACCTACATACATGCACAAACAAAACAGTGAGATATGCATGAAATGATTCGTATTGGACAGCGATAAGATTAAGCACACCTAATTGTAAATGAAAGCAGGTGTTGGTAGCATATCTATTTATTCGCACCTGTATTACCGTATTTTTCTGCTCATATGTTGTGAAGGAAGTAACTTGCATAGCTCAGTGCCATTTGCCATTGTTATTCAATTCCAACTTCATAATAGCCGTTTTACGACGGCCATTTGGGGCAGATTAGGTGCAGATTTGGTGTAGATTTGGTGAAATGAGGTTCAATGTGTTTCTTAAAAGTCGTCAGTTATGGTGCACAGATGCTACATAATTTATTTTTCATTATTTTTAATTAAAACACAGAAATAAATTAATGATATGAGGCTATTTGTTGTAAAAGAGATTAGGTGCAGATTTGGTCAAATTAGGTGCATTCGCCAGATTAGCCGTCTTGCAAACGGCTAATATGTTGCATTGGCAAAGGATGCAAGCATACTCCGGTCCCTTTTCTTTCTAGCGATAAAGTGTAGTATTGACCATATTTGTTTTAGTAATGCGGTTGAACGAGATAAACGCTCGAATTTCCTAGCCACCCGCTCCGCACACTGAAAACAAAATGACACAAAAAACGACTAAAAACGCACAGGCAGATCGTGTTAACTAGGCTTTCTTGTGTACCCTGCATCATGCATTTTTTGACCCGTCGCAGACGTGTCAATTTACAAATGTGTTAACCCAGTCGTGTTGTGTCCTTAAACACAATATCATTGTGTCTTCAACACATAAGGCTTGTGTGAATACATTTGCAGAATAAAAGGTAAATGTGTTACTAAATTTAACACAAATCGCAAGTGAAAGAAGGAAACACGTGGTGATTATGTAGTTTGTTGCCGGGGCGCAGTTGAAGGGACTTTGGCTTGGGCTGGACAGGCTGACTGCCAAAGCCGGGCCCCGAGTGGAATCGGGCGCTCGGGTGCGGTCAGGGCTGGGCACCCGGCCGGCCGACCCATATGGTGGGGCATTCCATGTCAACCGGGACAGCCAAAATCGGCCACCTCTGCGATTTTGTTCAAACTTGGTATACTTATTGGCTATTGGGTGAAACCTCTGAGGGTGAAAGGATTTTGTCATATGCCCTCGGGCTACAGAGATACAAGTCGCTAAACTTCTGCTTTTTGAGCAGAATTGGACGTGTATTGCAATCTTCAAAGATCTATAGCTTCAACATTTTTGAAGCTATCGATGTCAAACAAACTGAAACGTGTACATAAGGAGTTATGCTAGTAAAATTTGACAATTTTTACTTTTTTTGGTGAATTTGAATTTATTTTATTTTGAATTAATTTCTTAAAATGTAATTTGTGAAAAATGGGTACCCTTCCATTTTGCTCAAATTTAGATATTGTCTTTCACTACACGTAAGGCACACGTGCCGAGAAAATTAGAATGGGCCAACGATAACTTTGGATGATATAGCAACAAGTAGTGCAACGTAGCACGGGCGGCGGAAGGGGCCGATTTCGCTAACTCCACCTGTTTATCGCCAATAACTCACGCCATAATTATTATATTAATGTCAAACTTTCAGTATCTGTCCAGAATTGAATTGCAAATCCTCCCGTGCAAGAAATAGGTAAATCGGTCCACAACTTTTCTAGTAATAGCGGTGTAAAGTCAAACATTCCTGCCGGAGCGGCTCGGCGGCCGGCGCCGGCCGTTGCCGCCTGAATGGTAGACTGTGCCGGCGCGGGACGGTTCCATCTTTGCACCGCGCTTCTTACCGCTGATCATGATCGATTCGTGTCAAATTTTGTGTGAAGGCTTAAAAATGTACAGGCAATCTAATGTTCAAATAAATACGAAAATCAACTGGTAAAATTAAATTATCAGGGTGCAAACACAATATATGACTATGACGTTTCCCGCGTCGGCCGATCCCCGCCTCTACCGGCGACATCTTACTCTTAGCAAGCCACCAACTGCCAAATTTATGGTAAGATTAACTGGAGATTCTCATAACACTAGGAATGTCGCATAAAGGAAGAAATAGGAAAATCGGCCAGTATCTCTTAGAGCTATGGGCGTATAAACGCAAAATAGTCACTATAGCAACTTTGATCACGTTTAACCTCATTTGGTCTTGAAAAGGTATATTGATCTAGGGCCATGAAATTGGCACACGATTAAGTTCCCCACCGCCCCACATACAATTCAAATTCCGTTTTTTTTTTAATTCCCTTTTTTGGCTAAACCAGGCTTTTCTCCCCTAGCGCTGGGAGAGTCAGGCGTATTTTCTTTTTGCAACCAAAGAGAGGCGCTGCCCGGAGAATGGCCAATTTCATTATTAACCCGCGCCCCACTGGGGGGGGGCTATTTATAGCCCCCCCTCCCGTTTTTCTGCAATAACTTCCAAACCGCTTGACGTATCGACGCCAAACTTTCAGTACCTTCGGCTGCATCAATTTGACACCTTGTGTCAAAATTTGAACTTCGTAGCTACCATAGGTCGGCCGGAAATGACGTCAGAGTGACGTCATGTTCGGCCGATTTCGACGCAAAACATCGAACCACGGCAATCGCTCCCAAGGGCTCAGTTTTTAAGCTAGATCCAATTTCTTTGCATGAGAGGACTCAGAATTGACTGCGCTATCAAACTGCTATCTCGGATTTTCGAAATTTTGAAAATTTCGAAAATTTTATACAATAAAATTCAAAATTTACATTTTTACATTTTTTCCAAAAAGTTTTTGACTTTTCGAAAAAAACCGGAATATATGTGATAGAACGCGTTATTATGACTAACTCTAGCAAGTTTCAGCTAAATATCTTCAAAAATGGCCAAGTTATACGCATTATTGCAAAAAATTCACAATTATTAATTTTTCAAATCAATTTTTCACCACGTATTTGACATCGTACGCCAATATAAATAGCACCATCGTGTTCCTGAGCTCAAACTGCATCCAATAGACACCTTTTCTGTTGAAAAATTATAACTTCAAAATTTGACCTTTTTTGACCTGAAAGTGACCTGACCTAAGCTAAATTTGACTCAAAATGACCTCGAATGACACAGACGACATCAAATTCGAAATCTTTGGCCTAAATGGACCATAAAACATGTGTCACGTGACCGACGCATGATATAATATTTTCGTGACCTGTGATGACCTGACCTTGACCTGAAAATCAAAGTACAAGTTTGGTACCCTCAGGGTATCTAGAGCATCTGTTCACGAGTGTGTGAACCAAAAATGAGCCTGATCTGACTTGTAGGACGGCGGCCAGAGCCCAAAACGTGAACAAACCAAAATGCTAATAATTTTTACTTTGACCTGACCTGTGACGTCATCGGTGACCTCGAGGTCAATGAAATTAGGTTTCGCTCGACAGTTTTTCCGGGGCTATCAGACGCCGTTTGAATTTTGACGATCGGCCCAGTAGTTTCGGAGTTAGGAGGGGGGGCTATGAATAGCCCCCCCCCCAGTAGGGCGTGTTATACGCAGACCCCAGTGGGGCGCGGGTTAAAAACTGGCTTACGATGACCAGCTATCTTCGTGGATTAGTAGTAAGTGTGCCGAGTGTACCCACCTCGAAATCAAAAGGTCGCTGGCTCGCAGCGGGTCAGCCTGAAGTGTTAAACACGCCTGGCCAGCCGGCAACTGTCGTGAGGGCTTATGTTCGTATCTAGGTAGCATTTGGCCAGTCGGCAACTGCCGTGAGGGCTGTACATATTTACGCGTGTTAGATTAGGTCAGGTCACGTCAGGTCAGGTTAGGTTTGCTTTGGTTTCGGCCTTCGGGTAGAAAGAAGCATCTCCGGGTAGCGCCTCTCCTTGGTTGCTAAAACGAAACACGCGAGTGTCAGACATTACGAAGTCCAAAAGACAGTTACGTAGACGTCGGCCCATTCTGGATTTTTTGTATGATGTAGCTTATGTATAGGAGAATAAAATATGTAAAAATCAGCAAAATCGAAGGGTACCCATTTTTCAGAAAATCAAAATTTATTTTTTGAATTTTAATTAAGTTCACTAATTAGTTAATTACGTCAGTATTGTTATCCTCAAATTAAAGCCTGACCTATTCCCTCCATTTCACACTTTGTCTCGTGGTGATATGTCTAAAACTTCAATGGTTATGACGCTTTAAAGATGATAATGTGCCTTGCCTAAGTCAATGTTTGATGACGTGAATCTCGGAAACGTGACGTCATATCTGGACAAAAATATGTCTCCCTTCTTTTCACATATAGATGCAAGGGCTCCGCCACCGGGGGGGACGGGTGGGACATGTCCCCCCCAACCAAAATGTTGGGTGGGACATACTATCTTTTGTCCCCCCCAATAATCGGCTCCTCCGCTGATAGATAAATCGACTCTTGTTCCTGACACCGAATACAGAACATAACTTGGAACATAAGTGCAAAGAATCTCCGAAGAAAAAAACGTGATGAGAGTCTAATTAACCTGTCGTCGACAACCTAATTGTCGCCCTGTGCTTTAAGTCTTTTTCTGTTATGGGGGCCACGGATTTCAATTTTTTAGTAGACAATATCGACAGGCATTTTCGCGTTAGGTATATCAACGTGAGTCTACTGACGAATGTTCGCAATCATACGTCCCAGTCCGATGATGAATCCAGTAGGTATATCCAGTAGGTAATCCAGTAGGTATATCAAATAAGGATCTCTCAAATTCAATCAATTAAACAATCAATACGGAGATTATTTTTTCGGGTAAACGCTGTCGTTCTTTAAGAGGAAGCTTCCATCGGTCAAGTAAGAATATCGCAGAACTGTAGGATGAGAGAAACTGTTTGTTTAAAGTGTTTGAGAGGTTAACCCTCGTTCTTATATGGACTATGGTGGGTCGGATTGACCCACCCCTCAGTTTTTCACAAGTAACTCGCGTAAAAAGTGGTTTATCGTGACGAAACTATTAGTATTTCCCGGGAATTTTGCACATCCTCTGAAAATTTCATGATCCTAAGTCCTAACCCCATGGGCCATGACTTTTGAGCCTGTGGCCTATTTCTGGAGACCATGTCAGGCCGAACCACCGATTCGGTGTATGTTAGCGCACATTATCTGTACGTTTCCAGACTTGTTATGTCATAAAACCGAGCCAACATGTGAAATGACGGTAGACACATGCATTCTGGTAGGTGTCAAGGTCACGTGAATTAGACACATGCATTCTAGTAGGTGTCAAGGTCACGTGAATATCAGGTCAAGGTCATTACCGTTAGATGAATTTGGTTCACTTTTTCGAGCTAGGCATGTTACTAGGAAACTTTTTGGAGATGATGTCGAATTAAGCATATAACATTGAGAAGTAGTTTTGGTACCAATGCAACATGTTACGAAGCTGTCTGTGGTTGACACCTACTTTGGCTAGCCGGAGGGACACGCACTTGTTGATCTCACCTAACCTGATCCGACCTTCGCCAAATGCTAAAAATGGATTCAGATTCAGCGCAAAACTATGAGCCAGATACCATTAAAAAATGAAGCTGGTCTTTCAAGTTTTTTTTTCTGTCTGGTGTGTCAATATGATGAAGGTACAATGACTACAATCTAATATTGGGTAATATTGCATGGGTCAGGTGGCCTACCATTTCTCTATTTTTTATTTTTCTAGTTAAAAAATCATCGTATCAGGGCTATGACGAAAAACAAGTGGCCTAAATCCGATGAGAAAACTGGATTTGGGGGTACCCTAGGTTTAGAGGAGACACTAGGGCGATGGGCGAAGAGCAGACCGTCCCCCCCAACCAAAAGTCCGTGGCGGAGCCCTTGTATAGATGAGTAGTTTCACAAAGTTTCGCAAAAATCGGAAGAGGTGAGGTTCAAAATGATCATTTTTTGTCTCACTTGACGTGGAATGCCCCATGGTCAGGGCGCGGTCAGGGCTGAGCACGCGGCCGGCCGACCCATACGAGGCCGCCGACCCATACACGAGCTGGAACAGCGCCCAGTCGGCCACTTCACAGCCGAAGGGTGAACGCGTCACGTGGACGGCTCAATCAGAGCGCCAAGTGACGGTGCCCCAAGTGACTACTGTACAATACAGTTGTCCAGACATCCGGGATAAACTTACGGCCACCGATTTTTCAAATATATCCTATATAGACCACTGAACTCTAATATATACTGGAAGGAGCATTGGTGGCTTGTTTTTGTCTGTCGATTTCCGCCATGTTGTGTATACCAGATATATAAATTGCATTACGGTAGCAGAGGTGCAGTTTAGTGAGAGGTACACTTCTCAAAAGTGCTGCTGCTTCATATTTGCAATTTGACTGCAGCGATCAACTTTTCAAGACTTTGGTATACACAACATGGCGGAAATCGTTAGACATTCTGGCCCATATACGGCCAAGGCGAGTGCTTCCCCCTGATATAGACTGAGGAGTTTCTTCCTCCAAGCAGACGTTAATTAGCTATGCTTCAGCTTGCCCTTGATGTAATCAGCGCATATTGCTCTAAACAATTTATCATGTATCGACTCCCTCGGCTGTATTGTGCATTTTGACCTTTCTCAAAACACTTTGGCAAATTTTTACAAAAACCCAGCATAAAAGTCGGTGCTCGAAAAACGCCCTCTATTATCCCCATCTGAAGTTAAGGTTCAGAGGTCGCTGACTGGTGGATGACACGGTGTATTTGTGCAAGGGTACACGTCTACCATCCCCGACAACACATGATTTCGATACACTGATGCATTACATTCGTCCAGCGTGCTTGGCACGAGAAAACTGTGTCATTTTTCTGTTTTATGTGTTATCAAACGTGTCGAAGGTCCCGCCCAGCGTGAGAATACTCAGCATTATTGTGTTTTGGGTGCGATTAACACATGCCTGATGTGTTACCAGTACAGAACATGCCCTCACTGTGTCGATTTGTTTTCAGTGCACCGCTGTAAGGAGTCGAGGTGACTCGTCAGTTCACACACTCTTATCAGTGCGTATTCACGTGACCGAAGCCTGTTCGCATTGATAGCTATCGGGAATTCCGCGTGTGTTTGGGTGGGAGGGTGTGATTAGGTGGTTTGGGTAAATGGCGGCAAGTCATCTCGGCAAACAGGCTGTTTTTAGTAAGTCACACCCCGAGCTGCTAGAGCAGCTACGTCGCCTTTACAGTGATCCGTCTTTTCAAAAATGATTCATCAAAGCCCCTGACCTAAGTGGATACTTTAAACTTATCTCTCACACCGTTGGGCTATTCCGAGACCTTACCACCCGTTCGGGGGGGGGGGGAGTCGGTCGAGGGCAAGGTCAGGTCAAGACCGGGTAAAAAAAGATCCAATCTAAAAATTGATATTTTGCATAAAACGGTATTTTTATTTTGATGTAACTCGTCACGGGGAATCTAATAGTGCTCATTGTTCTATATGCTACGTGATCTACATAGAACGCCTTAAAATTGAGCTTCAAAATTTTGACGTCATCATATTTGATTTTTCATTCAGTTTTTCGAAATTTGGAGAAAAAAATGAGCATTCAGAAGGTTTATATCTCAAATTGATTTTTCGACATTTCGGGTTCAAATTACCTTTTTTGTATCCAAGAAAGCAGTTTGGAAGCTCTGAAAATTATACACGTTTCGGTAAAAAAAAAAATATGGTTCCTCAAATCTGCAGGTGTGCAAGCTTTTCCCGCAACACTTTTTGGGGTCGAAAATGGCAGAACATGACGTCACTCTTACGTCATTTGTGGCCAAAGTATTGCCTCTGAAAAAAATGGTCATAAGGTGTAAAATTGGTGCTCGGAAGTGTCCTAAAAGTGTGGTGAGTGGTGACGATACCTGCAATACGTTTGGAGATACAGACGTAAACAAAGAAGAATGCCGTTCCCCCCCCCTCATCTCCCCAAAGGGAGATGGACCAGTTTCTCACCGATACTATGGAGATTGGAGAAACACTCACATTGGTCTATATTCTTAAGCTGTATTGTAAGGAGACAGACTATACCACCAATATCAAAAATCTTAACCTATGTAGTGGACACTGCATGCACTGTCCAAAAGCTTCCCACCGTGCCATTTTAGTGGCCGATCACCCACTGAACCCCACCGGTGACCCGTCACCCACTGACCCGTCACCCACTGACACGCCACCCAGTGACCCGTCACCTACTGACCCCCACCGGAGCCCCGTCACCTTCTGACCCCCACCAGTGCCTCGTCACCCACTGACCCCCACCCGTTACCCGTCACCCACTGACCCGTCACCCACTGACCCGCTGACCCACTGACCTCCCACCCGTAACCCACTGACCTCGAAGTCGGGCACCGCGCCCGGGAAGCCGTTCTGGGTGATGTAGTCGGGCAGCGTGCTGTGGATCCAGGCCATGACATCTACTAGCTGGATGGCTCGCTCGGTGGGCCCGCCGGACTCGGTCAGCGACCAGGGCGTGATCACCAGGAACCCGTGAGAGGCCACCCGCTGCAGCATCACCTCCTGAATCTCGGCCGGCACCGTGTCTGCGCCGGGGGGCAGGGGCAGGACAATCAGAAGATCGAGGTTTCCATTTTTCTTCCGAGCAAGTTCAGTAAGATATTTCCTATATACGTCGTTTCGCTATCCATTAACAAACTCGCAATTTCATTATTTACATCACCTTTTTAAAAGTGTGTTATCATAAAATCACCAAAACTGCAGGTCATCAACCCGTGCTGGAAAACAGTGCAGGAAAGATCACATGCATTGTGCAATGTTTCCTGCACGGCTAGGGTAATACATTCCTGCCCGGGGCTGGGAAAATTTAATGGTGTCACCGAGTTTTTTAATTGAAAGTACCGAGGGCCGGTAGGCCCGAGGTACTTTCGATTAAAATACGAGGTGACACCATTAAATTTTCCCAGCTCAGGGCAGGAAGCTATTTCCCATACATGCGTACCATGGGAGCGTTGCAAATGTTTTGGAGGAACCAAAACGCCCCAATTTCAACCTTGTTAAATCTTTCGTGGCTATGGTTTGTTGCGAATTAGCGTCAAAGTTTAAGTTTTATATGGTGATATTTCACTTTATTCATGACAAATAATAAAATCCTTCCATCAAACACAATGTAGGTAGGTATATCATAAGCCAATCAAATAAAATGGACGATAGATAAAATGAAGTTATAAGGAGCAAAATGATGCTCTTCAACTTAATGATGTGACGTCATTCATAATGACGTCATATATTTGAGAGGTGCAGGAAAACGTCGAGGGGTGCAGGAAAATGTCGAAAGGTGCAGGAAAACATATTTTCCTGCATGTCTCGGAAACCAATCAGCATTGACTTCTCGTATGTTTCAAAAGTGCAGTATAATGCACGTGCCATTTTAATGCCTGGCTTTCTCGATTTAAGCGTGCAATGTTGCATGTATGGGAAAATGCTAATGGGATATCTTTCTAGTAGAGGTTTATTTGCCATTGGGTCATTTCTATGCAGGGATATTTCTATCTCGCACTCCTCTGAGATGCAAATAGAATATGCTATCCATGCATCCCTCTGAGATGCAAAGATAAGGTCTCGAGGGTTCACCACCAAAAATCAAGAGTTCAAGTGATGATGGGTTAATAACCGAACAATTTTTGATGGTTGTTTGTGCATGAAACTTAAGAAAAAAAGCAAACTTCTCTGAATCTTTGTTTGCTTAGATGAATATATTTGAATATAATATTTAACTAATTAAATTCAATTGATTACTTTAACACGCGCACTGCAGGGGGGGGTTTCAACCCCCCCTCTGGTTTTTTCGCTGTAACTCAAAAAGGAGTAAAGCTACGACTTTGAAACTTTGTATAGCTGTTCATCAAGCAATTTTACATCACTTCTGAAAAAATTAGTGTTAGGTCATGCAAGGTCAGGTCACCAGGTCACGATAAGTGACCTCACCTCATAAAAAGTTTGACGCTGTGCTACATCCACACCATTTGACTGAATGCTATGAAACTTTCAGAAACATATTAGGAGACCTGTTGTGGTTTTACATTTAAGTCTACGTTAATAATGGCTCGATAGCAAATTAATTATCTTCGCGATTCCACCGCCCCAGATGCACACGCGCACTCCCGATGTTAACTGTATTGAGTCCGGCTGACGACTGCCCAACAATACTCTTTACTCAAGGACGCCGGAAGCTGCCGGGCGGCACAGCCTACCATCAGGCGCCGGCCGGCGCCGCGGCGGCTGGCAACAGCTGTCAGCTGACTGCGCCGGTATAGTTCGTGCCGGCTCAGTAGCACGCATCACAACACCTCCCCCCAGACGTGGGGGAGACAACACGTCTCAAGAACAAAAATGGTGCCTCCGACAAACACAAACGCACCAACGCGTGCCAGCGCACGATGGCTACACAAACTCGTACACTGGGTCCGACCAAGTCACAGTCAGCCTCTTAGGCTGTCGACGAAGTCGTTTGCTGCGCCTGACAGAGACCTCAGGCGCGGGGGTCGCTCCGCCCGGACGGCTGCGGGGGACTTCGTCAGCGACTGGGGTCCCGCTGTCGGCGGTCCTAGTTCGGGCGCTGTCGCCGTCTTCGGTGATGGCGTCGCGGCTGCCATCGGGTGACGTGGTCACCATCGGCCGCAGCGGGCGGAGGTATCGTCGATTCCGCCAGTAGGTGCGGCCGCTTGGCAGGCGAGCGAGGTAGTCTCGGCGGCTGCCGATGCCAACGACGACGCCTGTCCGGTCCCACAAACCAGTCTTCGGATGTTGCAGGAGAACCTGTTGACCGATGCGCAGAGGTCTCAGCGAGCGGGCGCTCGCGTCGTAGCGCTCCGCAGTCTGGGACTTCAGAGCGGCTGCCCTCTCATCACACTCCTCCGCCGCGCGCTGCCACACCTCGGCAAACGCTCGGTGGTGGGCTGGCACGGTAGAGCGCAGCGGGTGACCGTACAGAATCTGGGCCGGCGAGCGACCATCGGCCCGAGGCGCGTTCCGCAGCTCCAAGAGGCCGTGCGCGAACGCGTCATTGTCCAGGTTGCCTCGGTCGCTGACCTTCTGCACGAGCCTCTTCACTGCCTTCACTGCAGATTCCGCATGTCCGTTCGACTGAGGAAAATGCGGAGTGGATATCTCGTGGGTCACTCCCCACCGTCGCAGAAAGTCGCGGGTGTGACGGGCTGCGAACTGCGGCCCTCCGTCCGTTCGCAGAGTCTTGGGTGCCCCAGTGGCCGCAAAGGCGACCCTCAGGCTGGACACCAGGTCCTTCGCCGACGTCTCTCCAGAGCAATGAAAGACGAACGGCCATCCAGAGAGGCGGTCTACGTATACGAGATACGTTCGACCAGCCCACGAAAAGTAGTCCGCTGAGACGGCCTCGAAGACTCGAGTTGGCACCGCCTCGGAGACTAGCGGCTCCTTTTGCTGGCTCGGAAGATACATCTGGCAGGACTTGCACGCTGCGACGAGGTTAGCGATGTCCTGGTCAAGCCCGGGCCAGTAGACAACTTGTCTAGCCCGACGCTTGGTGCGCTCCACACCTGATGGCTGGCGTGAAGCCGCTCGAGCGTCTCCCGACGCAGACTCTGAGGAATCAGGAGTCGCTGCCCGCATACCAACAGGCTGCCGTCCACGGCGAGACGGTCTCTATCTGTCCAGTAGGGCCGCAGCGTCGGCTCCAGCTGCGACTTGTGGACTGGAAAGCCAGCCAAGACCACGTCTCGGAGGGCGCTGAGCTCTGCATCACGCGCAGACGCCGCCCGGACCCTCTGCAGAGTAGCGTCCGGGAACAGTGAGTCTTCCTCGGTCGGATCAGCCGTGGCGATTCTGGCGATCAGGCTTGCGATCTGGTGGGCTTCCTCCTTCTCCGCCTCTTCGTCGTCTGGAGTCGGAGTATCCACCGGTGCCCGGGAGAGCGCATCCGGGATCGCGTGCAGTTTCCCTTGCCGCCAGACAGCGACGAAGTTGAACGGCGTGAGACGTTGCCGTAGCCGTTGCAGTCGCGGGTTGTCGATGTCGATGAAGCTCTTGGAGTTCAGCACTGGAACGAGCGGTCGGTGGTCTGTGACCACCTCGAACTGCTGCATGCCCGAGAGGTACAGGCTGCACTTCCGACAAGCCCATGCAACTGCCAGCATCTCAACCTCGCAGACGGCGTAGCGGGACTCCACATCGTTCAGGAAACGAGACCCACACTGGATCAGTTTCCATCGTCCATCTGCATCCTGTTGCCGCAGACAGAAACCCAGCCCTCGTAGGCGAGCGGCGTCGGTCTCCAGGACTGTCCGGCGCCGCGGGTCAAAGAAGTCGAGGACTGGTGGCGAGACCAGCGCCTTCTTCACATCACTGAAGGCTTTGGAGTGCAGCGGCGTCCACACCCAATCGTTCTTCGGTCGCAGAAGGTGTCTCAGAGGCTCGGCGGCGGCCGAGACGTCTGGTGAGAAGTCACCCAGCTGGTTCACGAGACCGAGAAACGATCTGAGGTCCGTGAGGCACGCCGGCTGCGGAAACTCCGCGATGGCTCGCACCTTCTTGTTGTCTGCGGTGTAGCCTGTCTGGTCAATCTTGAATCCACAGAACTCCACCTCATTCCCGGCGAAGGAGCACTTGTCTGGGTTCAGAGTCATACCGTGGTCATCACATCTCTGCAGGATGTTCCACACGTGCTCCAGGTGAGCTGAGTAGCTCGAGTCGTACGCCAGAATATCGTCTACGACTTTGCATGTCTGAGGGATGTCACCGAGAGCAGCGTCGCCTCTTCGGTTGTACTCGTCTCCTGACAAGATCAGACCCATGACGGCACGTTTGTAGCGGAAACGGCCCCATGGCGTGATGAAGCACGTTTTGTCCTGGTCCTCCTCGCGGATGGGGATCTGGTGGTAGCCAGACTTGCTATCCAGCTTCGTGTAGAAGTTTGTCCCGCTGCCGATCGAGGCCACAGCGTCGTGCGGCGACCTGACTGGGTACGCTGGCCTCTTGACGAATCGGTTCAGCTTGGTGAGGTCGACCGTCAGACGGCAGCCAGAGACCGTGCCGTCCGGCGACCGCTTTGCCACCGGCACGATAGGGTGGCACCACTCGGTCGGATGCTCCACCGGCTCGATCACGTCACTCTCCAGCAGCTCATCCAGCTGGCGCCGAATGTCGTCACGCCAGCAGAACGGTACACTGCGAGCTGTGGAGACGGCAACTGGTGTGGCGTCTTCAGTCAACTCGATGGCCATTGAGCCTCCGGACATCTTGCGCAGCTTCGAGGTGACGTCAAACACTCGTGGGAAGGCTTCCTTCATCGCTGAGAAGTGCTTCCGTCGTTCTTCAGCCGATGGCACGCCTTTGCTTGCATCCCACGTCGGCTTCAGCGGGTGCACTTCTGCGCCTTCCCGGCGTCTTCAAGTGCAGGAGCAGAGCCTCGTTTGACCACTCTGCGGGGTATCTTGCTCTTCCCTGGCATGGTCTTCAGGGAGCAGACCGCTGGAGCTGGTCGGGAGGTCTCCTCCTCGTCTGAGATGGCAGAACGGATCTGCTGTGGGAACTCCTTGTGCAGTATTCC